CCATGAATTGTATTTATAATCCGAACAGGCTGAGAGTTATGTTAGTTCGGCCTCTGGTTCTGCTTGATCTGCTCAGCCGGGCAGTTCTGCGCTTGCGCCAGACCTTGAACATAGCTTGCAAATTCCCCCTTTGCGATTAGCATCTCTACTTGCCTCATTAAGTTCTTGCATTCGTTAGTCTGATGTCCAAAATCACTATAGAAAGCATAATGTTTAGTTTGATCCCTCTGTTCAAGAGGTTGTCTGATTGGTAAAGGAGGACGAAACTTATCTTTATTCTCTTGGTATAGCCTTGCTAAGGTGACTCTGAGTGGAGTTACTGATTCCTCCTCCCTGGGCCTTTTCTTCGCCTTCCATGAGGTATGACGTTGTGGCTGAGCTTGTTTCTGCCGGATCTTGGCTTTGGACTTCTCTTCCATCGAAATAATTGACGTCTTCCTCGAATTAGTTGCCTCTTCCTCCTCAAGACGAACAAAATCGTCAGCTCTCTCGTTCAGCTCGTCCATGGTCTTCGGCATATTGACCACCAAGCTGGTGTGGAACGGTGTCCCCCGGTTCATTGCGAGTTTAAATACTTGGACCGCTGTGGACGGATGACACTCCATTACCATGCTTTTAACGAGGTTGAACCGGGTGAGAAAAGTTTGGAGCCGTTCATCCTCGTGCTGCTTCATTGTGAAAAGGCTTGATACATCCTTAGCCGAACGTTTATTCCCGTAGTACTGGCTTATGAACTTATCGCATAAGTCCTGGAAACTAGCGATTGAGCCCTGAGCCAGATTCTTGAACCAATTAAGAGCTGGTCCAGCCAAGCTCGTAGGGAAGCATTTGCACATCAAAGGATCATTGTTAGTATTCAGAGCCATTTTCAACTGAATGTGGTAGATGTGATCGACCGGATCGGTTGTTCCATCAAACAGAATGAAAACCGGCATGTAGAACTTCTTCGGATTCGGCGCGTTCAGAATTTCATCAGTGAACGGAGATGCAACCGTCCTTGCTGATGAGCGCAATGCTTCGTTTTCCCTTGAAAACCGTGACACAAGCCCCCGATCGGCAGATCTCCTTTCTGAACTGTGGTAATCAAATGTTGCTATTGAAGGTCGGTAAGGTGGATTGAATAACCTGTCCTCCGCAAACTCACTTCGCCATGGTGACGCACCCCTATGTTCATACGCCGGTGCTTCCTCCTTCATGATCCGTTCACGATGTGGTTCCAGATGAATAGATCCTTCTCGATCCTCTACTCAACGGACATTCGGAGGCAGATCGGCGATTATAACTTCATCACGGCGTGGATCAACACGATTGACACCTTCTGGATCACCTTGACGATCACCTTGGGACGGTAAGGCTCTCTCTCCTTCAGGAGGTGGCCTCGGAATTGCAGGAGCCTCACGACGTTCCATTCTAGCTCATAGCTCAGCATTTTCTTTCCTCAAAGCGTCGAGCATGTTCATCAGCTCATCGAGCTTCGTCTGCTGGCCGTTCTCCAAAGGATTTGAGTTCGCCTCTTCGATCATCATTCCAGATCGGAGCAAAGTCATTAACTGCAGATTTCTTAACCAGATCGGAGTTCCGCTAACGCACACACACCAGATCTAAACTCACACTTGCTGAATTCAGTCCACTACTGGCCGGATTCAGTAATCACAACAGATTGCAATTGTGCAGTTCGCCGGATCAAGCACAGATCTGATCTGCGTGGATCGGACACCAACTTCTCGAAATCAACCGGAGCCTGGACTCATCGAGACAAATCGTATTATCGCCAATGTTGATTCGGCTTTCACAGATTAGTCGTCTTCCTCGCAGAGTGCTTTGAATCGAATCGATCTGGAACAACATCAATCAATCTTTCCTGTTTTTCCTACAGACGGCGCCAATTGAAAGTACAAAGAATTTCCCCCAATTGCTGAGAGAGAAATTTTACACTCCCAATGATTTCTAACCCCTTTTTCCTCTCAATTTCCCTTATTTATAAACGGTTACTACCTCCTCTGGCGACCTTATTTGTTGTCTTTTGCCTGGACTCAACTTCTCTCATTTTAATATGGGCTTCTGCAATGACTTCATGGATCTGGGCCCATCCAGCGTGAACTTGCTCCATCTTGGCTATCCATACCCGACCCATCCTTTGCAATACGGATCATACCAAGCCCTGGTCATTTTGGTGTCCTCACTGGCCTAAAAAGATAGGGTTGAAGTCATCAAGATCGACTAGTGTGTACATATAAAGATATGTGGGTTGGAAAGAAAATTGGCTTTGAGGCCAGCGGAATAAGCCAAACATTTTGGGGGCTATATAAGATGCAAGCATTTGAGGAGTAACTAAGGAAAAAAATTTACCAAAAAAAAATTGATAATTACAAAACTAAGAAAAAATGAGAGAAACTATTACTAACAAAATAAATTTAATAAAACTGACACACTTTTTTTTTTTTTTTTTTTTTTTTTGTGTGTTTTAAGCTGATGATTGGTCAGGAGTATGGGCACACATACCAGTTAATGCGATGATGTGAGCCTTACTTAATGAATACAAGTTTTAGCATACAATACGAGAAACTTATCACATTTAAGCTGATGATTGGTCGGGAGTATGGGCACACATACCAGTTAATGCGATGATGTGAGCCATACTTAATAAAAAAAAATTTAAGAATACGGTACTAGAAACTTATCACATTTTACCACCTTTGCTGCGTACCCACCGAAATTGACTCGATCCACTCCACCGTCCATTTCCTTCATCTTATATGTTCGTGTCTCTAGAAAAAGGCTAGGTAATGGTGTTTGAAACCCGCTTTAATAAATAGCATCGTATATGTTCGTTTCTCTAGAAAATTTTCGCCGTCAAAGCAAACATTGATAACTTTTGCTTTAAAAATGCCAACATCGACCCAATTAATTGAGCAGACGTGTGTCACATTCTTCATCCCAAGTCAAATTAACAGAGATGACTACTTCTTGGTTCATACGTGAACTCAACTTGGAGATAAAAATAAATAAAATAAAATAAAAGAATCAAATTCCTTAGCTTTTTCCAGATGATCGATAAAGTTCTAATTTCCTCTTCTTATTTTTATTAATGACTTTTTTGTTTTAACCATGGTCAACATTTTTTTTTATAGAAAACTGGATTAAACAGGTAATTCATTATTTATGCATTTTCTTCGTTTCCTGTTATATATTTATATCTGTACTATTATTAAATATAAAAAGAGTTTAGTACACTATTTATTTATTTACTAATTATAATGTCTTATTCATAATATAAATTTTTCCTTTTTAAAGATTCTACATACAAAATTATTCTTATATTTATAATATTATTTATATCAATAAATATATAAATTAAAATAATTCTCTTACTAATAGAATGTAAAAAATTCCACAAAAAATTCTACTTGCAACGCCGGAGATGAAAATCTTTGCAAAAAAAAATGTAATTTTTATTAACACGACTAATAAATAACAACTATTACAAAAATAAAAATAATAAAATCAAATTACATGAATAAGTTAATTGTTAAATATTTTAGACATGCAAAGAAAAAAAAAATTGGCTATAATATTTGATAAGATGTGAAAAACTCAAGTAAAAAATTAAAATATTTAGATTGAATTTTAGTTTCACCAACCATATTTTTAAAAGAAGTAAAACTGAATTAAATAAAATTTGTTTAGAGGCAATTCATAAATTAATTTGATTAGTATATTTTATGATAGATATGACTATGAGAAAAAATAATAATAATAATTATTATTGAATATAAAATGAACTTATAAATTTAAAATAGGTATATTTTAATATAGTAGTAGAAGTAGACTTGCACATATTTTATAATAAATTTTTTTTTTTCTAGGCCAAATTCAAATGACTTGAACCTATTCAAAGAATTGAGAACAGGTTCAAAAATGACAGAATGTTTTCTAGGCCAAATTCAAATGGCTTGAACCTATTCCAAGAATCATGAACTGGTTCCAAGGTTCTAGGCACTGTTTTTGGTATATTCTGAAACATACCAAATATGGAATGTGGCCTAACCTTTTTAGATTCTTTCCTAAAGTATTGTTCTTACCTGTCTCGAATGATCTCAGTCATGGTAACTTTGAACAACCTTCCAATTTATACAGTTACTGTCGATTCGGATATGGTAACTTGAATTACAACTCCACAAGGACTTGTTTTTGACACCGAAAATTACCAATTACAGAATATATATTTTTTACAATCTTTCCAATATATATATCTTACAAAATTTGTCAAAGAAACAATTATATCAGGTGGTATGGATTTTAGTTTACATAATATGCTTTATTCTTTTTTGTATAGATCGCTCTTCTTCACACACACACATATATATATATATATATATATATATATATATATATTTTTCATATTGAAGGAAATACGTTTTGCTTTTCTCCCCCTAGTTCTACTCCCTTTACAATCGGCGTCTAATTCCACGAGTCTCTCTTTTTTAGTTAGTCTTTGTTGTTAAAATGTAGCCAAGAAGTCAGAGATCTAGAGACCTTGTTTAAGACTCAATAGAAAGTGTCAAGCTGCTTCAAGACGCTCCGGTCTAAGCTGTCTTGGCTCTCTCTTTTCTTATCTCTGGTCTATCTCATCAAGTACTAGCTCCCGAGTGCCCTCCTATCTAAAGATATTTACTGAGCGGCTTTCTTCAACAGATAGGGAAAGATCGGGTTGTTGAAATCTTTCTTGAGTGAAAATCCTCTTCTGCGGGACTACTCAGTCCGAGATGCCCTGTTCGTCAATACGGCTTTGCTTTTTTACCACGGCCAAGGTCTTTATTGGCACCGGCTGCGCTGGGGAGTTTACAGAAGAGACAGTCTCTCAACCCCTTTTCGTGTAATGTTGGTGGGAGATCGAGTAGGAGGAACAAACAAGACACGAAAGAGAGAAAACAGAGGAGACTATGAATAGGCAAGAAACGAATAGGTAGCAGTTTCCTTAAACAGATGTTACTGATTTTTCTTTTTTTTGTCGGGAAAAATAGCAGTACTCAATATATGGCAATTTATCCAAAAAAAAAAAAATGTTCTCTTGATCATCACTCCAAGAAGAAGAATGTTCCTTTCATCAATTAGATGAATAGATTCTCTTTTATTTATTGAAAAAAAAAAAAAAAAAAAAGTAGAAATAACAGTATGCTTAAATTCTTCCACAATAAAAATAATTAAAAAAGTGTTATCACATGTCCAATAGTGTCATAACAACAACATTTATGAGTATTTGTTTTTGTATCTTCTAGCAAATAACCTTGGTTTTCCTATCCACCACAATCTTCTTCTTCTTGAGGATGCCATTACTTTTCACTTTCAATTGAGGAGTAGCAGTAGTAGTGTCGGGGACAGAAACCTTGGCACAAGTTATTAGTCTTGCAGGCATGGAATCTAGCTCATGGAGGACCTTAGTGATGTCAATGACAAGGCGCTCTGCCAGGGTGTGCGAGAAGTCTTCCCTTACCACAACACGGAGGACTGTGATATGTTGTGCATCCGCAGGCATGGTGTAGGCCGGCACTATCCAACCGAACCTACGCAGCATGTGTGAAACCTCAAACTCATCGTGACGGCTGTTGTCCTTGAGAGAGAAAGCCACCAAAGGAACCCCCATGTCCTTTGAAACAATGTTGAAGCGCCCGGTCTCCTCCAATCCTTTTTTTAGGACTATTGCATTATCACGACAGTTCTCCATCACATTTTGGTAACCCTAATCATTAAATAAAAAAACAAGTCATTAATTTTTGTCTTGAGTTCATGAATCATGAGTAAGCAATACACATCCATATATCATTAATTAGGATCTCACCTCAAAACCCAAGCGGATTAATTGGTAATATTGAGCAATAACTTGACTAGAACCTTTAGAGAAATTGAGGGTGAAGGTGGGTTGTTCAGCTCCGAGGTAGTTAATCTTGAAGATAAGTTCTTCTGGCAAGTCCTCTTTGGTCCTCCAAATAACCCAACCAATACCAGCATATACAAGCCCATACTTGTGACCGCTCACATTAATACTCTTCACTAGTGGAAGACGGAAATCCCATTCAAGCTCTGGATAAATAAATGGAGCAATGAATCCACCACTGGCTGCATCAACATGGATTGGTGTATCCCATCTGTCAATGTCAAATTAAGTCGCAAACATGGATTAGACAATTATGCAAACACACACACACACACACATATATATAATGTACATATATAGCTTAATTAATGAATTACCCAGTTTGCTTGTTCTTTTCTACCAAAAGATCGTTCAAAAGCTTGACATCTTCAAATTCTCCGTTGAGGGTTGAACCCAAGATAGCAGCAACGCAGATGGTGTTTTCATCCACCAATTCCACAGCTTTTACAGGGTCCATCACATAGTACCCTTCCCTCAGCTTCACTTCCTTCAGTTCCACCTCAAAGTAATTTGCAAATTTCTCCCAACATACCTATATTTTTTTTATATATATATATATAATAAAAAGATTAATTTCTGATATATCAGAATAAACAAATATAAGGTAATATAAATATAATTAGACATATTTATATACCTGAACATTGGCCCCTGTGACTATGTTGGGTTTGTCGTAAGGTTTGCCCTGGGCTTTGCGTTTGTTCTGCCAGTTTCTCTTGAAAGCAATGCCTGCGAGCATTATGGCCTCTGAGGAACCCACTGTTCCTACTCCGACGGCAGTCTCAGAATCTCCGAGTGGAGCATTGAAGAGATGAGCAATGATGTTGACGCATCGATTTTGAAACTCGGTGGTAACAGGGTACTCATCCATGTCCACATAGTTCTTGTTAATCGCATCCATCATCAGCTTATTGCACTCCGGCTCCATCCATGTTGTCACAAACGATGCCAGATTCAGCCTCGGGTTACCATCTAGCATCAGCTCGTCGTTTATTATCTGATACGCTGCCTCCTTCGGTATCGAATTCTCCCCCATCTTAAACCTTTATTATCAATTAATATACATGTTATTTCCAAACAGGAGACACAAACAATATATAATCATATATGCATGAAAAAAAAGAATGAACTAAGAAATATATATATATATATATATATATATATATATATATATACGGACCTTGGAAGCGATGATCGAACGTAACGAGAAGCAAAGGTGGAGTGGACGGAGACATCTGATTCTGAACCAACCTTTGTGAGAACCATGGTTGATTGATGGATGCTACTGATTGATGGTAGATCAAATTTTTTTTTGAGAGAGAATGATCCATCAAACTGGTATTTATATACAATAGAGAATGATGTATATAGAAAGAGATTATATATGGAAACACGTACGTTGAGGTTGCTTGGGAAAGACGAAGACCAATTTTGGTATTTATAAGGGTGAAAAAATAGGTAACCAACTCTATACACATTGTTATGCAAGAATTACGTACTATATATAGATACACAAATTCACATAATATAATATAATATATATATGTTCTACTACGTGAGAACATATATGGAAGGAGCTAGGCATGAACTTTCCTTTGAAAACTTTAGCTCCAAGAATCAAAACTAGGAAAAGTTAAACCATTCAAAGTAAGGGAAGTCAAGAAAACCAAAAACGTTGGCGGCTTTTATTCGCGGGATTAAGTTGGGCATTCTACATTGTTTGCCGGTTTAACCCATCTTTCCTTTTTTATTCCTGCTTCTTTTTGGGGAGTCATAATTCCATACCTTTTCAGCTCTTCAAAGACACGTGTTACCAGTTAATGCAATGATGTGGGCCATGTTTAATGAACACGAGTTTTAGCATCCACCTTTGCTGCGTACCCACCGGAATTGCAAGGAAAAAGAAGAGGACGACTCCACTCCGCCGTCCATTTCCTTTGTTTAAATTAATACTAGCATCCTATATGTTCGTTTCTCTAGAAAAAGGCCAGGTTTAATAAATAGTAGCATCGTATATGTTCGTTTCTCTATAAAATTTTCACCGTCAAAGTAAACATTGTTAACTTTTACTTTAAAAATACCAGCATCCAACCAATTAATTGAGCGTTACGTGTGTCACAGTCTTCATCCCAAGTCAAACTAACAAGATGACTTCTTGTTGGTTCATACATGAAACTCAACTTGGAGATAAAAATAAAAAAAATAAAATAAAAGAATCAAATTCCTTAGCTTTTTCCAGATGACCGATAAAGTTCTAACTTCCACTTCTTATTTTATTAATGACTTTTTGTTTTAACTATGGTCAACAATTTTTATAGAGAACTGCATTAAACAGGTAATTCATCATTTACGTATTTTTTTCGTCTCGCTATTATATATTTATTTCTATATTATTATTAAATGTAAAAAGAGGTTAGTACACTATTTATTTATTTATTTACTATTTATAATATCTTATTCATAATATAAATTTTTCTTTTTTTAAAGATTCTACATACAAAATTATTCTTATACTTATAATATTAATATTATTTATATCAATAAATATATAAATTAAAATAATTCTCTTACTAATAGAATGTAAAAAATTCCACAAAAAATTCTACTTGCAATGCCGGAGATGAAAATCTTTGCAAAAAAGATGTAATTTTTATTAACACGACTAATAAATAACAACTATTAAAAAAAATAAAAATAATAAAATCAAATGACATGAATAAGTTAATTGTTAAATATTTTAGACATGCAAAGAAAAAAATTGACTATAATATTTGATAAGATGTGAAAAACTCAATTAAAATATCACTTATCAAAAAAAAAAAAAAAATTTAAAATATTAAAATATTTAGATTGAATTTTAGTTTCACCAATGATATTTTTAAAAGAAGTAAAACTGAATTAAATAAAATTTGTTTAGAGGCAATTCATAAATTAATTTGATTAGTATATTTTACGATAAATATGATTATGAGAAAAAATAATAATAATAATAATTATTGAATATAAAATGAACTTATAAATTTAAAATAAATATATTTTAATATAGTAGTAGAAGTAGACTTGCACATATTTTATTAGTGTTACAAAATTATTTTACATATTAGGCAAAATCTATATAATAAACATGTACAAATTTAGAAAATATTAATTGTGTCGCTTGAAAGTAGATTATCCCCAACAATGCATCCCAAATTCCAATCAAATACCAGTAAACCTGTTTCCACCAAGCTTATTTTAGAAACTATGTAAATATATTATGGTTAAAAAAAAAATAAAAAAAAAATAGCATCATAACTCAAAAATTACAAAAGAGGCACAACTAAGTGCTTGCACGCATTGCAATCCAACGAAAATCCTGGACTCAACACCATTTGAACTCATCTGCATTAAACAAACATTTAACGAATTTGAAATTTTCATTACAAGTATCAAATGTCTTGTTTATAAGAAAATAAATAGATCATTTGTGGAGGAAAAATTCCCCACCAACCACAACATACCACGTGGCAATAAAAGTGCAGCATATTGTTAACTGAAGCCACCCAGAAGCCCATTATCAGTTGGGAGTCCAATAACAAAAAGTCCACAAACATGTCAAGTCGGCCCGATTAACGAAGGAAGCTTCACTTGACATAAAATGGACCAAGGGTCAGCTCGATCACGGTTAGCTCATAACTCCATAACGCCTGCCATAAAAGAAAGAGGCGCACGATCAGTAAGTATAAACACCCACGTCTAGAAAACTGCCAATAACGGCTCCATGTAATTCTCTGCAAAAAGATTATAAATAGAGCATGAATGAGAATGGAAAGACATCGAATTCCCATCATTGTTTCTCTCTTGAAAAATTGTCTACTATCACGATTCAAAAAAAAAAAAAAAATTTGTTTACTATCTTTTCCATATCCCATATACCTTCTTTTGATTTATTTCTTTAAGTGTTTGGGTGTGAGAAATTGCACCTACACTTTGGCGCTGTCTGTGGGAATTCATTACAAAAAGTTCATTTTCTACCATTTTCATGCGACATCGCTTCGGAATGGCAACATGATCAGATGCCGCATGAGCACAGCAACAGGAAATCATGCAAACAATGCGTGAAGAGATGGAAATACAGTTTGACGTCCTTCGACAAGCCAACGAAGCTAGTACTGAATAGATCAATGCACTAAGGCAGTCTCATGAAGCCAACATAGCGCAAATTAACGCTTTGCGCCAGGAAAATGAAGGACTTCGAAGCAATGCTCGGCAGAATGATCTATCGATCGACCCACAACCCGAGCGTCAGAACGAAGACCCTCCTTTGGCATCGGGCTCAACAACCCTCCTCTCTAGCAGAGGGTTCCACGGCAGCAGTTTGACGGAACACTTGACGATGCCGAGGAAACAACAAGTTAATCCCCCATCTCAGGAAACTCCACTATGGGAGGGCCACGAACCACCAAGGTCCCACCTTCAGATGATGCCGCTTCAGGTGGAAAGGAAGCATGGGTCCCGGTTGCCGATCAACAATCATCGGGAAATGATTTTATCGTTAGGTTCCGATCGAAAGGAAATGGATGAACGAATCAAAGGGCTGGAGGCCTAAACACCTGAGGACATGGCGAGAGAATTCACTGCATCAATAGTGAAGACTCCTTTTATGGATGAGATAGAACGGGTTGTAAGACCCAAGAAGTTTACAATGCCGAAATTCATCAAGTTCAATGGGACTGGAGACCCTCTCCAACACCTCAATCATTACACTCAAGAAATGACGCTAAAGGCACACAACGATCCGTTCATATGCAAGATATTCCCATCCAGTCTGACAGGGGTAGCCTTGGAATGGTTCAAAAATCGCCCGTGCAAATCAATCTCGAACTTTGAGATGCTATGCATTGCATTTCTTGCCCAATACTGCGGGAACAAGAAACAGAAAAAGACCATTACCAGTTTCTTTACGATTTGACAAATGAAGGGAGAAGGCTTGTAAACATTTCTCACTCGATTTAACATAGAATCCTCAGGAATTCCGGATTGCAATCAAGATATGACCATAGAAACATTTAAAATAGCCATGGTGCAAGGTTCACGTTTTCATTCTTCTCTAGTGAAGAAGACTTCGGCTAATATGTCAGAGTTGAATTCACGAGCACAAAACTACATCAGACTAGAAAAAAACGAAATAACTAGATAATAAAGAGCAACTTTGGTCACTGTAGAGAGCCGACCAAAGAAACGACCGAGCATTTCAAGGACCCAACGTGAACCCCCGAGCATCGAGGGAAGAGCCCCTGAGAAAAAATCTCGAACAGCTGAAAAGGTTACGCCTCTTAAAGTGACACTGGCTAGATTAAACCAAGAGACTAAGGGCAAAAACATTTTTCAGATCCCTCCATAGATCAGACAACCAATGGAGCAAAGAGACCAAAGTAAGCACTGTGCATTCCATAGTGATTTTGGATACTTAGCCAATGATTGCAGGAGTATAAGAAGGCAAGTGGAGGCACTAATGGCCAAAGGCAAATTGGCAGACTACCTGATTAACCCGGGACAACAAAGGCAACCTGAGCGAACTCGTCCAACTCCAAAGGCTGTGGCAGATAACCATCCCGTTCAGGTAATCAATGTGATTCATGGTCTTCTGGAAAAAGACGAACAACCAGAGAATTCTTACAGGATTCAACTCAAGCAAGCTCATAAGTTACGTAAGATCGGCGAAATCAACATTGTTGTGTGTAAATTGAGTGCTACGCAAATTTCCTTCCATATATGTGGGAGATCTCAAGAGGATATAGCATCCACATGAGGACCCAATAGTCATCAATCTGCTAGTAGCCAATTACCTGGTCAGACGTGTACTGATTGATCCTGGCAACAGTGCCAACATCATAACGAAGTGGACTTTTGATCAATTGAAGTTGATCAAGTCCAAAAAGCCGAACGGCCACAAGAGTCGATTGCAAATATAGGCGAAGGCCCCAAGAACCGAAAACCCCATTAGATCTGCATTAAAGACTCAAACAAATACGAGCAATCAAAAGAAGTAAAAAGAAAAACAAACTTCTATATATAGTTTACGAGTAATGATACTCTGTTCGATTAAATTGGCCTATTCCTAATTCGAATCTTACGTGTAACTGCCACGTAATTTCCTAAATAGTTGATATTTTATTTGGGCACTAAACATACCAAAAATAAATATGGAAATAAGTGGAATAGGTTTTGATGACCCCTCTCTATCTCTCTGATTTCACTATTCGTCTTCTTCGTTCTGCTGCTTC